TAGATCTAGCTATATAGATAGATATCTATCTATATAGCTAGATCTAGCTATATAGATAGATATCTATCTATATCTATATATCGAGATATCTATATCTCGAGATATCTATAGAGATATATCTAGAGATATCTATAGAGATATATCTAGAGATATCTATAGAGATATATCTAGAGATATCTATAGAGATATATCTAGAGATATATAGCTAGAGAGATATATAGATAGTGAACCTGCACTCGCTGCTACACTATACAACTTTTTTTTTTAAAGGACTTGCCATCAAAATATAACTTGGGCTTGTGGATAAAGAACTCAAAAGGTAATTTTTGACATGAGATACACATCCAAGTTAAATTGCACATTTTGGGTAAAGTACAAATTACAGGGGACCATAAGGACAGAAATACATTTTACCCTTATTGCAATTGCTGCATTTCTAAACAATCACCAGTAGAGGTCGACAGACGTTAACAATTGTTTTGTTTGATTTTTTACCAGCTTTTCATACCATGTTGCAAGTGCCCTCAGAAACGACCAGGCACATCTTGTCCAAAGAAGAGCAGATCATAAGTAGATATATCAAAGTAATTCGATTTTATAAATATTCTGATTCCTTTAAAATCATGTCATGTGTTTTATGTTCCCTTGCTTTTCACACAGTAGTTCCGATTAGACCTCTGCTCAGGTTGAAAATGGGCAGATGATACTCAGCATTAAAGTATTTATTTACTGACTGGCCCACCAGAATCAGTTTGACTCATAATGATTCTTACAACCCCACAAATCATTGACCGTACACATGCAATGTCAACTTGTTTTCTGAAAGAAGGAGGAAGCAGTTTACTGTCTTCACATTTCTGTGCATAATTGCTGAGGAGCCGAGCCCTTCCACAGTAGCACTGTGATTTAGACATTTTGCAGTGTACAAAATAAAACAAACAAATACAGAGAATTAGACCGACATACATCAAACGAGAGCTAGATAAGCAAAGTACATCATTTCAACCTAAAGCGACACCCAATGATGTCAAAAAAATTTATATATCTGCTAAATATATGAACTCTAATAATATGTTGCCTTTTGTCAACCCAGCATTCAGTATTTCCAAAGTATAAATGACAGATACTTCTGACATGGAATTGCACTCTTAATAATGTCTTTAAATTTGCTCAAGAAAAAAAAAAAAAATGAAAGCAGAAGTCTATGCAGACTTGATAAAATATGAAACATTTCCAGATAACAGACACAGTATCAACTTTGAGGCTTGTTTCCATGTGCAGAGAACAGCTGCTTCTCCTAACTCTCCAGTGTTTATGGACCTGTTCTATAGACGGCCAGGAGAGGGCGACAGCGGGACTAAAAAAAACAAACAAAGAGCAGGAACCCAGAAATTTAAAACGGATTAACTTGAGGAATATTTAAGTTCTCTTAATCAAAGCACTGAATAAATTATTCAGTAAAAATATGTGTGTATATATATATACACACACACACACTCTTTTTTCTTAAAGTAAACATTCACAGTTCACACCATGTCATTTTCTCCTTGGTGCTCCTCCGGAGGCATGTCCTCCTCCTCCTCCTCCTCCTCCTTTGTCTTAACATGGCCCTCTATCTGCTCGACAGGGCAAGGCTCTGAAGGCTGCCGTTCCTCCTCCAAAGCCTCCAAGTTCTGGGCTTGTTCTGCTTCCTGCTCCGACCCCGGATCTCCCCTGTCATCCGGGTCACTCTCAGCTACCCCATCCTCTGTTTTTTCACAGTCCCCGTCTTTCTCGTCAGCTTCTTTCAGACTTGCCGGCTGTCCGTATTCGAAAACCTGGTCCGTGTCCCCATATTCTTTTTGTCTGTACAGTTCACACGGGGACAGATCACTCCCGGAGGCTCCCGCCTCCTCTCCAGCTGACCTCCTGTGCTGTCTCGTGGGCGGGCGTCTTTTGAATGATAGCCGTGCACGAGTCTGTATGGATAAGAAGTGTAAGAACCAGCAGGGACTTTAGATCATGTTTGTTAACATTTAAAAAAAAAAAAAAAAAAAAACCCAAGGCAACTTAGATCTATAAGACAGCTAAGAATCTATATGCAGTGTCAATTCTTTCGCACCATCAAATTATTTCGGTACACGTCTTAGCATGTGCGTGCGAACACTGCACAAAATGGTACCTACGGACTCTAACTAGGCTAAGGGGATTACATCTTCAATCCCCCTTCCAGTGGCACTCATGCACTACAGGGGCATCTTGCTCCAGCTTATCCAAGGCCTGCTTGAACAGAAGATGCAGAACGCCTGCTGAGAAACACGTCAGCGGGGACAGGGACCATGTGTCCGGCTGTGACAGGAATAGCGTGAGTAGCCTCAATGTGACAGTAGCTCATGTTTGTCATTTAGTGACTCAGAACTTGTGCAAAAACCCACACAAACATGAGAAACATGAGTACCCACTACTGAAAAACGCTTACAAATGAACATAACATGATCTAGGGTCTTCTTCAACACCATACCTACAATAATACCACAACAATAGTCCCACTGCATTATAAGAAGATGGAATAAATAGCTTAGATCTATTTGTTCCATTTGTCGCAGCTTTGTGTGCGTCCATATGTTTACCTTGTTGATGCTTGGCAGCGGGGCGCCTTCAGGAGGGCTGTCAAAGCTGACGGCATCCTCCTCTTCACTGGACGGGTGCGAGGGCCGCAGGGTGGGGCTCAGGGGGCTCCGCGGGCTGCAGGGTGTGATCGGGGACAACGGTGCTGGCTGGAGCTTCACCTCGGGACTCTTGTTGGGTGAAGGCAGCAGAGCAGTGGGTGACAGGGCAAGATTGGCCTACAGTGGGAAAGGAAGATCCTGAAAGCCTGGACACTAATCTCCTTCGTGCATTGTGTTCCTGACAAAACTTAATTGTCAAACAATGGCTTTCATTAAATGCGTTTAAAACAGCACTTTTGAAAAAGAGCATGGCTCTGCCTCCTACTTTGGAAACTCGCCTGCTAGGAGCACGGCCGGAAATTGCACCTTACGTGTCACAAACAACACCTGTCATATTCAGTCTAAGAACTAAAGCACACCAAATCTGGAGTTAGCATCCAACCCACTGTTGAAGTTTAGAGCAGAGTATCCTACCTGCACTGGGGAGAAAAGGAAGAAGGAGAAGCGGCAGCCCTTTTGTCCCATGGCTGCCCACCGTGCGAATCGCTAACTAATGGATGGATGGTGGCGGGTTTGTACCAGGATGAGAGACCCGTGATCCCATTAGATCATTAATCTGAGCCGATTGTGGCATCAGGGACAAGCCCTTCCCCTTTTTCTCAGCATGCTCACAGCTCAGGCACCAGTGTCAACCGAGCAGTGGATGGCAGTAATGCCTCACATCTCCCGATGATGCACACCCCTGACTACTTCTGCCCGTTTACTACGGTACATCCTGTGATAACACATCATTGGTGAGGCTAGCATTTGTTTTCCCCTCACAAAATATTCACATGTTGAATGATGCATCTACCTGGAGTTTCTCAATGATGGCGGAGTTCTTCCTCTTAAAGGGATTTGGTGAGACGATAGTTTTCTGGAAGAGAACACAGTCAGACCAGAATTAATGAAAAGACAAATACGCAAAATCATCACAACCCCCATTTAAACCATTGAAAGCTAATATCTTGTGTGATACTTCCACTTTGTTTACAATGTGTACTGTCATTGTAGAGTATACCGGGCCATACAAGCACGTACGAATACGGAAAATGGATTAGTATTAAATAAATCCCATTATATTTTGTCGTTCATGCCTGTGATGTATACATTTTTGCACTGCTATAATGGGATAAGTTTGTGTGATTTGTTTGCCCATGTCAATATTTGTTTTGATTTCACTGGAAGAAAAAGCAGCACCACTTTCCCAATGTGTGGGCAGAAGAAAGAAGTAGATAAATTGTCCATTGGGCAACAGTACTCTCTCTACTGTGATGAAATTGCAGAGTAAACAAAGCCTGTTTTCTGGAGACTCTTTGTATGCGAAGAAAACGCATTAGTAGCACATAAAAGTGAAGTAAGAAAATGACTTGCAGCTGATTCATCGTCATCTTTTTGGTTCTGCAACTTTAGAGAACATGGGGGTCTTCTTCGAAATGGCAACTACAAACAGAAAGGAGGAGTAAATCAAATCTGTAATCACTAGCGGTCCATATGCATTCACCAACTACTCTATTCGAGTTCTAGGGCAGCTAAACAACGATTTTTTTTGTATATTTTTGCATGGATGCTGTAAGATATAAGACATGAATGAAGTACCTTGTTATTTGAGGTGGGCATTGGTAAAATGTGACCTTTGAACCTTCCAGCCAGCTCAGCCACAGATGGCTTGGATGGAGAATCCTATTAGAGAAGAAAGACATCCAATCAAAGACTTTATGTTTTGACATATTGTTTGTAACATTTTAAAATGAAGTACTGCCTCCCGTGAGTTGAGAGTAAAGTGTAAAACTTTCAAACAAATGCCAGTTTTATTGAATGTTAAGAATATATGCATGGCATGCCAACAAACCCTTTTGGGGCACTGACTTGCTGAACAAAGACGGGTAAAAACATGGAAACAATACATTGTCTTAACGTGTCAGTTCACCCCCAGGTCTGAGCTTAACTCCTACCATTGCATAAGTGTAAAAAATGCAACAAAAAGGAGGGGGGCGGGGTGTTGACAGGAGTTGCTCAGTGACTGATTTGACAGCATTAACATTCTTTTTCTTAAATATAATTTAGAGAACGGTTAACTCCATTTCATCATTGGTCTAGCAAGATTCAGGGCTGAGTTGATAAAACAGCAGATGACGCATTGAGCCATTTTTCAAACCCATGAAATGCCGATTTTAATATCTTTGGTAAGAAACGTCAGCATTAACACCAGCACTGCTGTGTTTCCTTAAAGTACAGTCATAAAAAACATGTTTAAGTGTGCAGCGCCTCTTTGAGCACGTCATGTGCAGAGAGCCATTTTGCAGCTGAACAAGGAGATTTTCTAAGACTAAGAACAAAGTCTCACTTCGCTCTTCTATGCAGGAGATAACGCAGACGGGTTGACAAAGGCAGCAGAAAGGGTGAACATGCAAAACGCCATCAGAATGTTAGATTCAATGCTGTCCTTGGAAGGAACTGGTCTCTTCTCTGGCTAAAGAGTGTATTTTGTGGGTTTGGACACAGGAAGTGAGCCCCTCTCCACAGCTGTTCAGCATCACGCCTGTGACAGCAGGGATCTGTCTATGAAGCCTCACACTCTTATCACTTATCGGCCCCTTTACTTTCTGTCTCTCCCACTATCCCGAGCCGATTGCTAAACTTCCCTCCTCCGCGCTGCCCTTTCATGACCATTGACTCACTCCACATATCTGTGGCCTAAGTGATAAGTCGGCTGCAGGCTGTAACGTGCATGAGCCTTGAAAAAGAACTGCGTTTTCCAGGTTCTAGCTGTTTTTGTGCCAAGTATTTGGACTGTGAATGGGTCCAGATATTTTGATGTCCAGATGTGTCAGGACTGTGCAGATAGTCCATGTCCTGATTTGCATTGTACAGTCACGGCTTGTGGTGTTCCTCCCTTTGGTGCCACATCTCATTTCCATCCTACTTTAATTGACCACTAAAAAGCTCATGCCTCTTCCTCACAGCTGCCAGTTCTGTCACATTTCCTGGGTGTGCGCACTCTGTTCCTTCCCTCCCTGCACAGTTTGAGCTCATGGATCTCACGAACTTCACAGATACACACATGTTAATCACCAGCTTTGTTTTCCTTCTTCCCCTTGTTCTCAACATGACCTCACCACCTTGCTCCCTCCACCCAAACGTATTACAGCATCAGCTAGCCCCGCGGTGCCTCTGTTGATGCTTCTCTGCGTCCTAATCCACATCCCAACCCTTTTCCGCGAGTTCTCCTTTCTCATCCGTGATAAATAGTAATCACCAGGGACCACCCACCCACCGCACCATTATTTTGTAACCTCCAATTGTTTAACTCTTTCCTGTCCATCAAAAACAAATGCCTCCTTCAGAGCGCAAACTGTAGTCACAACAGTGCAGGCAAAGGATGTTCAAAACGCTGCTCAGGTGTTTTGGGCGAAGAAAACAAAATTTAAAAAAATAATCATGGTTTCGGATTTTTTTTTAAACTTTAATTAAATGACACACAGGAGGGCAAGACTACCAGCACCCTCAAACATACAATATTTACTTTGAGTTACTTCTATTCCTAGACATATGATTTAATAGAATATAAAAAAAAACTAATTTTAGAGAGAAAACGTGTTTCTACATACGGAAAGAAAATAATGTCTCGATGCAAATACCATCATGACTTCAAATACACAGTATAGAAAGGTGACGGATGCAAATTATCAAAATGTCACTTCAGAACTACAGTCTAGCATAGTTTGTTGCAAGCTTTTTATCTACTATGATTTAAAAAAAGAAACTTTTAGAGAGACATTGTCAGCAGCATTATGCAAAATATATAATATATACAAAATCTAGAAATTTTAAGAAATGTAATAATTAGCCTGTTTTCCTTTGTCTTTTAATTGAAAATGAGCATATTGTTCATTTCCCTAACTGTTTCCCTGAGATGATTAAAGAGACATTATTCCAATGAGCCATACAAGACCTTGGGCTGGTTATCAGTGTTGCTCATGTTAAACTCAGCTGGGACCCCAAGCTTTGTAGAAGAGTGGGAAGCTTTGGTTCACTGCAGGAGAGAGCAGGCAAGCTCTATTTCTGGGCCTCCAGGCCTGGGAAAAAGCCCCAGAGCTGTGCAGGCAGCCCGGATCACAGCTCTGCTCTGTAACCCCTCAGCTCCTAAGAGAGAGCGTCCCTGGATATGCTGGACCGCATCTGAAACATACTGTAATCCGGCATACAGAGAAATTGAGCATGTCTAAACAAGGAACTACGAGAGAAAAAAATAAAAGGCTCTCAAAGCAGTGCCTTCCCCATGTGACTTAAAGTTTTCCAAAAACGGGCCTCTGTCGACGCTAAAAAGAAACAAGCTATTTCTGCACTCTGACTTCCATGGAAACAGATCCTTTGGCTGTTGCTGGCTTTACAGTTACACATACAGTATAGACTTAGTGGACTGTTCTCGAAAACATTTTTACTTTGAATAATCAGGAGACATTAATACCGTTGAGGTTCATCTGAGTAATGAAGTGATACTGCTGAGTGGCCGACTTTGGTGACCCTGTGGTTGTGGTGGTATCTCATAGCAATCGTTGTAGGAGGACACTGTGGCAGAAAGCAGTGCATGCGTCTTCCCCACCAATGTCACCAAAATAATGCTGCGTTCCAAGAAATTTGACAGGAAGGGTCTAAAGACCTGATACAACGAGAAATACTAAATGGATGGAGGTTAAATCTCATGTAGTACGTTTTATATAACCATACCACCAAGCCCTACTGAAGAGTACACTTTAAAGATGTGATCAGCTGTTTTAGCCATTTGTGCTAAAAACAAAACGTTTTTTTTCCCCCCCAATATGGCCGACAATGCACATGACCACACCTGAAAAAAAAGTGTATGAGTAAAGGTTAATCCAAACAAGCGTCTTCATTTCCAAGCTGCGGAGGGAGACACGAGGTTAACTGTGTGACCGGCAGATGTGGAGCGAGAACACAGAGACAAACAGATCACACAAAGCCCGCTTTTGTCCGTTCTTGTTATTCCTATGTCCGGAGGCAGGGGAGCAGAAGCACATGATAGCGGTCTCTCTAAATCCAAACATATCTGCTTGATATAACAGCGGTGGTCAGAGAGCAACAGGCCATGTAATCCACCGTGGAGCTGATGAAGACGATGTCTTGAGCTGATGTCTGGCTCAGGATCTTTAACCCTTCTCTAGGAACTCTTAATCTTCATAAACTCACCAGCGGTGAGGAAATCTGCGAAAGAGAAGATAAATAAAGCACACCAAAGCACAGCTGTTGAGCAGGCACTGTCACCTAGCGTAATGGCTTCAGACTTTTGTTTTGACAAGTCAGCGTGTTCTGCCAGGAGTTAAAAGAAAAAAAAAAAAAAAAAAAAAAAAAAAAAAAAAAAAAAACACACACAGGAGTGAGCAGCTCCCTTCTGCCTGCACTTGTTAAGTGTAAGAGAGTGCAGTTAACTTGTAAGAGAGCTGAAAGGCACCTTCGCTCGCTGCCTTTCCAGGAAAACATGCGTTTTTGGATCAGACCACATCTGAATATCTCCCTTTTCCGCTGCCACTGACTGTGTGTGTTTTCGCATGTGGTGTAGCGTGTGTAGAAGTACACTAGAAAGGCCCTCAATCAGAGGGATGAGGCAAATGGACACCCTCATCTACAGTTTTCTTTTACACATAAAGCTTTCAATGACACCCACCTTCATAATACCATGATTGTGAACAAGTCTCACACTTTCTCATACAGCTGTAGGGGAACTTTAGTTAATCCAAAAAAAAAAAAAAAAAAAAAAAAAAAAGTTTGAGATGTATTCATATAATAAAGTTCCGTGAATATAATATTAATATGACGAACGGATGACGGAGCCGGGCTTGCTTGTGGAATGCACCGTGATATTTCAATGTGATAACTACAGTAGCCTGCCTAAGATAGTCTGTTGTGCAATGAGAAGGCGGGGTTATGGAGAGTGAATGGGGAGTAAGAAAAGATAACAAATGTAAACAGCTCACAGCAGACAGTACATGCTCAAAATGTTTGAGGCTAAGCAAGAACAACTGTGATACAAGCATCTGTTGGGGATTCTACATGGTGTTCTGGTATTCTCAGCCTCTCTGATCCAGCAATCACAAAGACAAAAAACATCTGGACAGTGGATCAGACAGTTGTCGTGGAGGGCGGCTGAAAAGAACAGCCGTGGGATGACTTCATACAGTAAGGCCCTGCACCTTCCCCACGACAACGCTGTGCAAGTCCTGCACAGATTCATCGCCACAGAGTTTGGCATCCATTCATCCACGGCAGGCTTGGTACAGTGCTACTTTAGGATGCAATATACGTATGAACTCTCTGAAAGAGACCTCTCTCCATGTAGTTTTATTTTGTGGCATATATTCTGCTGATAAAATGTCTGTCTTTTTATTGCAGTATATTTTTGAATCCAGGGCTTTGACTCCCAATGGAGTATTTTTACACATGTTGCTAATTTTACTTAAAGCTACAACAAGGAACTTTCATTTTATGTTGATTTTGGCGGTTCCTGAGGACATAAGTGGTAGTGTTTGCAAGCACCAGAGTCCCTTTAGAAAACCTCTCATTTTACTGCAGCAGGGTCCGACAGTCTGCCCCTTTCAGTCCTGGTTCTGGCTCTCCCGTGCCTCCCTTCCCTCCAGCGGGCCCGGAAATGCGGCCTGGGACAA